ATATCTTCATATATGACTAACTTATCCCTGTCCTCTTATTATGATATCCGTTTACTTTTTATTCTTATCTGTCGGTCTGCTCATACTATCAACATTATTATTATTATTTGGCTTATTTGCTTCTTGAAGCAATCGTCTATATTAGCATTCAAATTATCCCTTCATTATTTTTCACACTACAATTAACCGATTCGCATCCGACAATCTGATATTTGCGAGTTTCGGAGAGAGCAAAGAAGTTAATTCGTTTAAGTGGGCTCATAATAGAGATATTAAATATTGAAATCAGTCCACCATTCTAGAGATTACACTGACATTAGCGTAAAATAGTGAAAATTAAACTATCATAATGCTTCATCCGTCATCTTACTGAATGTTGGGGGTGATCTAATATTGGCTTATCGTATACCGAACGATGACCTTGGTATTAATATGTCTCATCTTTTCCTTCCATCTAGGACTGGTCATTTGATAGGACACTCTAGGAATGTTCAAAAACCGAGATCAAATCGTCTACGTTTGGAGTTTCGTTCCTCGTACCGAGTAGTGAATTACTGGAATTCTCTACCGGAACACGTAATATCATCACCTTCTGCTGATATCTTATAAATGGGATTGTTACAAATGTGCTACAAAATGCAAGGATTAATATAGGTCGATAGATCATCTATCCTTATTACTGAAGACAGATCTTACGGCAACTACTTACAAGAGACTCAGCAAATCGGACCGTAAGTGGGTGTGTGTTACGTGCAACACGGACGCTGTAGTACTGCTGAGCAACATCATTATACTACTGACAGGTCTGCGGAACAAATTGTCAGTAAACTTGGAAACAGATAGCCATAAAGTAGGTAGACAAACAAGGGCGCGCAACGAAAATAAGAATAGGGATGTTGATAAGTCAACCATCGATGGAACACGCATTAGCACTAATGATAAAATGTTGAAACCCAGCACCATCATTACGTCGACGGTAAATGACTCCCTCACTAAACTTGGATCCCCCAGTTCAGGGTCGTTAAATGCAACAGTGGTTCCTAAAAACTCTGCAGGTGACTGCACCCACGCCAACAGAGCTAATAAGGACCAGGCGTCACCGTCTAAGGTTGACATCCCAAGTGTTGTACGGACATCAACTGGTGCTTTGATCGCTCAGTCTACCCCCAAAAACGTCCGCCCGGTTATCAAAAAGCCTGCGACTCAAAAACCTGCTTTGACCTCCAAACAACAAAGTACTGAACCTGAACGCACCGGAAAACCTGGGAAAACAACAACGGTCCGTGACGACTCTCATAATCATGAACTTCATAGACAATCCTGACCTTCCTCCCAGTTTGCAGGACAAAAATGACAGGATGCTCTGGGGTGGACTGAGCAAAAAGCTCGAACTGCCTAGAATAGAGCCTTTGATGGTCACATGGCTCACTCGGGGAAAGGAATCTAAACATCAAAATCACCCGAGACTACTTCGTGTAACACTCAAGAATGCTACCGAAGTAGAGGACGTCCTGCTAGCTAGTCATCTACTGAAATCCGATGGGAACGTCAGAATACTGCCCGACATACCGTACTCTGAGCGCAATCTCATCCGGAACGTCCCTAAAGATTCTCGAGAGAAGTTTTTCCGCGGAAAAAATATCATCGTGCAAGGTGTACCGGAAAACATGGACCCTACTCAAGCAAACTCTGACATTCGGGAATGGAAATTCATCGAACAGTCCTTGAGGCTTAAAAACATACTGACTCAGCATGTGATGAGACTACACAAAAAGGACGTGGATCCTAGACCCCGAATAATGAGGATAACTTTTCCATCCTCCAATATGGTGGCTGCAGCTCTGGAAGAATTTCGTGTCAACAGACGTCGGTTGCCAACTGGGATCCATATGCACCCGGACAGGCCATACGACGCCAGGATCAAGCACAAAGGCAAGCTGGAGCTGACCATTTCACTTGTGGACTGTCGTCAAGATAAAAAAACGTGTAAAGGACAGGGCCTACCAATTCGACAAAACTTATATAGGTGGGTTACCTGTCCACTCACGTAACGCTCTCACAGACAAACAGGAAGAAGCTCACGCGTTTCAAATTGAAAGCATTAACTGCTTATACATGAACGCCGCGAGTCTACCAAATAAAATGGATGAACTAAGTGAACTTAGCAACGCTAATAAGGTTCACCTGGTAGGAATATCTGAAACTTGGATATCTCCTCAGTTTTCGGACCGGGAGCTAGTAATACCTGGGATGTCTCTGTTTCGCAATGACAGAAAAACAGGAATTGGGGGTGGAGTAGCCCTATACATACGATCTGGCTTGGAGGCACAGCAAGTTCACAACCATGAGTTTGACAATCTTGAGGAATCCATATGGTGCTCTATGAGATTGTCCACTACTTCGAGGTGCCTAGTCGGAGTCATATATAGGAAGCCCACTGCTGGAAGGACTATCCCGCTCTACGCGTCTCGGTTTCACTCATATCCTGATTCTAGGTGACTTCAATCTCCCTAGAGTCAACTTCGCGGAACATACGTATACTGGAGGTGAAAATTCAATTGAAGCTCGGTTCTTCAACCTCATTGAGGATTTGGGACTACACGAAAATGTGAAGTTGGCTACTCGTTGGAGGAACAGTCAGACACTGTCGCGCTTAGACTGTGTTTTTGCAAATGAAGAATTTCTAGTCGACAACCTCTCAATTCTGGCTCCCCTGGGGAAAAGCGATCACGCCGTTATAGCCTTCAGTTTCGTCAGCAAAACTGAGCTAAGAAATCCCAACAACAGGCGCTGGAATTTCAAACGGTTGAATGAGTCAGCTCTACAGGACTATCTACAACAGGTGCATTGGGATGTTCACACTCAACTTGATGTGGATGCTCATTGGAACTTCCTATTACACACGCTCTTATGTGCTACAAAGCAGTCAGTCCCTCAAGCGGTCCTCAAAAGCCACATGCAACCTACAATCATCAAAAACCGCACTCTTCGTTTGCTAAGCCGTAAAAGACACTGTTGGGCAGAATACAAACGAACCAACAACAATGGCGAGTACAGGCAATACAAACATATGAGGAACTTATGTATGAAGGCTATAAGAGAAGACAGGCTTCAGTACCAGTTAAAGCTTATGGATGAATTTATTCCCAATCCGAAAAGCTTATTCCGTTACACAGCCTCTCTTTGTCAAGCCAAAACTGGAGTTTCTCAACTGCTAGGTCCTAACGGCCCGACCGATAATGACGGTGACGCCGTTAACCTCCTGGCTGATCAATACTCCCGGACATTTCAACCGCCCCACATCAACTATACTGATGACGGCTCTATCTGCAACTGCACAGGACTTTCCGTAGTGAAATCGAGAGCTGACTTGGTGCTACGTAAACTGCAGCACCTAAGAACATACACTTCCTGGTCCAGATATGGTCCACTCTGCTATACTGAGGGAAGCAGCTTCAATCCTGGCAACACCACTTAGCGTGATGTTCTTACACTCGCTAAGTCGAGGCGAACTACCGGATATTTGGAAGCTGGCCCATATCACAATAATCTTCAAGGGAGGTCGACTCAACTAACCTTCAAGTTACCGACCGGTGGCTCTTCTCTCTATACCTTAAAAGATCATAGAGCCCCTAGTGTACGATGGTATACACGACTATCTGCTGTCCTTAAATTTCTTCTCACCCCAACAGCATGGTTTCAGGAAGGGTTACTCCTGTATGACGAACCTGCTGACCGCGGTGGACAGATGGACAAGCATCGTCGATCGCAAGGGGAAGGTGGACATCATTTACCCTGGTTTCTCTAAAGCTTTTGATGAGGTTAACCACATCTGTCTTATTAACAAGCTTAAACAATTGGGTATCAAACCACCTTTAATTGACTGGCTCAGTTCATATGTGACAAATCGACATTTTAAGGTCAGGGTAAACTTTAATTTCTCAAAGGCTATGGAATGTCCTAGTGGGGTCCCTCAGGGCTCAGTACTAGGACCTCTCCTCATCCTGATTTATATAAATGATCTTCCTCAACAGGTAACGTCAGACATATTGCTTTTTGCCGATGACGTGAAACTTTGGAGAGAGATACGCAACCAAGAGGACATACAGGCACTTCAGGAGGATCTGACTCGACTTCAAAGTTGGGCAGATGATAACGGACTTACCTTTAACACTTCAAAGTGTAAAGTAGTCCATCTGAGACACGTTGCAGATTACAGTTACAACTTAGGGAACTCCTCTCTAGTAGTATCCCTAGTCGAAAAAGATTTAGGAGTTCTGGTGCCCTACGATTTAAGTCTTACGCCAAATGTGACAGAAATGCCTTTCGAGCAAACCTTGCACTGGTAACATTGAAGCGCATTTTTGGTCAGTTTGACGGGAGAACTTTTCACATAATCTTCAATAGTTTCATTCGTCCCCATTTAGAGTACGGAAACATAGTATCCCCTCCTACACTCCAAAAGGACACTCTGGAGCGTGTCCAACGGCGAGCCACGAAATCAGTTCGGGGACTCAAATTTAAACCTTACGATGAGCGCCTCCAGTCACTCGAACTTTACCCATTAGAGTATAGGCGTCTTAGAGGTGACCTTCTAATGGTTTACAGTATCCTTAACACACCTGGACATACTCTTAAACACCTACTTAAGCTTAGTCCCAACACTAACCTAAAGGTAACACCCAGAAATTAGAGATACAACATAGTAGAACGGACTGCAGACACAACTTTTACTACTTAAGAGTTGTCAAATGCTGGAATTCGCTGCCAGCTGAGCTAGTCCGAGCAACTTCCCAGGAGTCCATTAAGAGGCGACTTGATCCATTCATAAGGACTAAGGATAGTATCTTACTATGATTTACCAATTTCTTTTTTTCTCTTTTATCGTTAATATATCTTGGTTCTTGCCTAGAGGTATTGGTGATGCCCCGCTACTAGACACGGAAGCCTGTTAAGCGAAAGTTTCTTCTATTCCGTCCACAACCATTTGAACCATTTGAACCATTTGAAAGTTGCGGTTATTGTAAAATGAAGGTCAAACTGAAAAAGAAAAGTGCGAGAAATGAGGTTGTGCAGTCTTCTGACTAATACTTACTGCCAGTTTAGGAAAAGAACGAGGAAATGTTTGTCAGATTAGGAGATGTACCTCTGGACATATTACGGTATAATATATCGATGCAATCTGGAGTGGAACGAAAAGAAACTCGCAAATCCATACTTCTCAAAATGGGCGCTAAGAAACCAAAAAACCCATACATTAATTACAAAGAACTCATGCAGAATAAGGCAAAGGCTAAGGCTGAGGCTGAAGTGTTTGCTTTCGATGTAAGTCTTACTACCTCGGTACTGAATATGCGTTGATTGTAATAGCGCAGTGCTAGTTTCGTAAACAAAAAGCTCCCTTTAAAGCAAGCAAAAAAGAAACGAAAAAGCCAACAGAAAAATAGACCAAGAAAAAAGTTAGTTTGCGATGTATTATATGTCTATGATTTAGAGTATCCAAGTCACGGAAGCATCGCTAACACCTGGTATTATGTAAACGTATTTCAATCATCAGATTTGTATATAGTCTTGTCGTTAATTTGCTTTTTGGAAGTCCTAAATAAACTATTCCCGGCAATGTTTAGCGTTTTTGAGCCATTCAGTCCGTGATCCCAAGTTTCATAATAAACCTTTCTGAACCCTCGTGACGACACTGTTTCTAATGTTACGTTTAATTTGGATTTTTAGCTGGCTAAAACTTACTGTAGACTTACTGCCGTCACATGGTATTGGCAAAACCCATAGCTAAAAGTATAGGCGTCTAGTCCTGCTTTTTTACATGGACTTGACTAATTTCTCCATTAGCGTCAGAACTTACTTTTGCCAAGTTTTATCTTCATAGTGACATCGCATTGTGTCTGAAAGATATCATTACATGAACAGTTTTTTTAAAAAAAACTACTGAGCATCACAGTTGCTCTTAATAGTTTTATTAAGCGTTTCTGCGTTCAGGTGTATATCATATAAATATCCTATTTGTTCTACTTTGAATGGCTAGTATTCCCGAATTTTTTTTAGTGTTCATGGGTCTACGACGGTAAAACTGGTGAGTTTTTAAAAAATTTAATCTGTACCTGTGTGAGGTGGTTAGGTAGATTTGATGTACCGATATCGCATTGTAACGTGTGATCGATAAACAAACTCGCCAATGATAAAGTGAAACTCCTACCACCACATTAACTTTCTTTGACCTTGTATGACTATGTCTTGTTTATTCACCAATCACAATTTTATGTTCATTCTAAAACAATATTTTCCTTGTTGACTCATCTTTCCTATACTCTAGTTACTGTTCGGTATGTTATTTATGTCTCTGTTTTTCCCTATATTGATAGACTGTATTGTTTATTTTGTATACTAACGGTGTTAATCTAAGTTTTAGAAACAGATAAAGTTTATCAAGCCAAATAGCTTACTTGTTCTGACTTTGGCTAAACCAAGACTCTTTGCTCGACGGTCTAGAGAATAGTTTAGAGTTACACCGGTAGGAAATTGCTTCCTACAAAGTTTCGAACACTACCTCAAAAATTCATACATTGAGTACCTTTAAATGTCTACGGAGAATCATAAAACTGATCATGTCCCTGAATTGTCTCCCCGCTATTCAGAAACTCATAGTGATGACCAGCTCGGAGGAAATACCCACCGAATGGATCTTTTGTTAGTTAGAATTAGATAAAGTACGTTTAGCTCAGACAGAAAGAGAAATTGAGTTAGAACGGTTACGTCAAAAGGGAAGAGAACATTATAACCAAGTCTAAATATACCTCACATGCAGTTAATGTTCCTCTTGGAAAGGACTGGGTAACAATGATATCTAGAGCTTTAGACCTACCAAAGAAAGATCATAAGGTTTGATGGTAACCCTATGAACTATTGGAGCTTCATACGGAATCTTGGGGACTGTTTTGATGAGAGCGTTGGATTCCGATCTAAGTTAAACTATTTGATTCAGTATTGTGATGGTGAAGCTAAAGCTACTATTGTTCATTGCGCCTTGTTCGAGCCAGAAGAAGGCTACCATGAAGCGCTAGAGCTTCTCGAGGAAGCATTCGGTCAGAAGAACATAGTAGTCCGTGAATTTATTGATGGGATGCTGAACATCCCTGCTATTAAGGGGACTAATCCAGATAATTTAAGAAAACTCGTGAGGTGCATGTTTGTGTGCTAACACTCACTCAGATGGACTATGCATCCGATCTTAATTCTACAAAGACTTTCAAATGCACGTTTTTAAAACTCCTACTACACTTACAAAGAGAATGGGTTAAAGTGTCATGTACAATTCTTAAGACGGGTAGAGAGCCTTCATTCAAGGACCTTTTCGAATTTGTGAAGGGGCAGTCAGATATTGCTAATACTAGATATGGATTACTTGTCACCAGTGATCCTTCTAATCGCTACCAAAGACAATCTGTTGCTGTTACTAAAAGAAACCTTGATTCAGAATATAAAGCGAGAGTGTCGTTCGCTAACACGAGTGAGTCTGATGTTGTTCTACATGTAGGACCAAGGATTCTTGGGTTGTCATATTTATTATGTACTGGAAACCACCCCTTAGATCAATGTGAAAGGTTTAGAGATAAGGATGTTAATAAAAGAATGAAATTTGCATCAAAGAAGTTGTGTAATGTCTGTCTAAAGGCGAACCACATAGCAAGAAACTGTCGAGCACCGAGGTCATGTGCCGTCGAATGATGTGGTTGGAGGCACCATACGTTGTTATATAGCAAGCGGAAAGAGCAGAGAGATAATAATAGTAATGCACACATTAATACCCAACTATGTACGGGGGAAAGTGTTAAGTGTGCACAGAAACAAGTAGCATTTGCACTAGTGCCTGTATTGGTAAAAAATGAAGAAAAAGCAGTATAGACTTGCGCTTTCCTAGATAGTGGCTCAGACGCTTCGCTTATTACAGAAGATTTAGCTAGAAGGATTCAACTGTCTAGAATTAATTAAGACGTACACCTTTAAATTTATATGCTTTGTTGCTGAAATTCTGCATCAATTTTCTTGTATATTAAATTTTTACCATTTGGATGAGAACGAAACCACATGGAAATTCTAAGATGGTAAATAAATAAATAAAACAAATGGGTTGGACTTTTCAAATTCGTTTTTACTTTCCAGAACTGGTGATTATGATTTCCTATGGCAAAAGCTTTGGATCACTGTGGGGTTAAGTCTGACTACGCACTTATCATTTTCAACTAATGAACTTGAAGCTTCTTACAACACGAATAAGAAGATCGGAAATTTGGAGGATTTGCATGTAAAAAGTAAAACAGTTAATCAGTATGGTAATTTTCCTTAAAATACTAGTCGTGAGACGAAATGTCATCTCCCACTAATTGGCTACTAGGTTTTGTAATGCAAAGACGATTGTTGACGGTGTTAATAGTCCTAAAAAGTGCGTCTCATATTGAGTTGGGCCATAACTAGGCCTCTTGAAATCTTGTTTGCTAGTTTCAGAAAATCAGTCTTATTTGTTGAGATCTTTTATCTTCTGTTTCTCTGATGCTAATTCTAAGTACCACTTAAAAATTTCTATTCTCATGCGCTTGTTAGATTCACCCCATTTATTTATCAAAATTAGCATTAGCGGATTTAATTTTATTTCTAACTAGCCCATCAACAAACAAACGAACTCGGCTTGTTGTAAAAAAGTTATATTTTTCTCCATAAAATCTTATTTTCCTGTTGATGTGTATTTTGTGATATCATGGGTAATAATGAAACTGCCGGGTTCTAAGGCTGATAACTGATGGCTTTCAGCTCGTGTCTTGTTAATTGAAGCGAATGACTATATCACTATTCCATAGCTAATAATGAATTCACTAAAAGAACAACTCAGTCGAGTTGTGTGAAGTGTGTAATCTGGCTAAATAAAGTTTTCAGAAACCTAGTAATTTTAATGATGAATAGTCTTCAAATAGGTGAACATTTTGCATTGATATGGTAAAACTACTGCAACCTAAACAAACTCATCATCTTTGTATAACCAAAATGTATTCGGATGCTCGACGTTTTACATGAAGTTATTTGTAACAGATCTAAATCCTAGTTCGTTACAAGGATGGTTTGTAATTAAATATGAATGAGAATGTCTTGAAGTGTAGTGACTTGTGTTTGGTAGTCGAATAGTAAAAAAAAACAAGATTTGATCAAACGATTCTGTGTTTTAATGAATTTTCAAAACAAATTCCAAATAATGACTAGGTAAATATTAAAAAAAGCTCTGAACAAATAGGTATCGTACAACGATTTTTCAGTAATCGTAATTTCACATTTGTACACGTTCGTGTAGCGAATATGAGCTGAACTCAGTTCGTGTTCCATAAGAAGAAGAGGTATTGAAGAATTAAGAGGGGAAACACAGGACATAAGAGGGGAGCCAATTGGATATTGTGTAGTTATTCCTCCCGTATAGGCGTAACATTTTTTTGCAAAATGATAATCAGACTAGAATAATTTATGATTTACTAGAAGTGAAAGTATGAATATAAGAGACTTTATTAAGATAGGATTGAAACAACTGATTAAGGTATATTACAAAGTGATGCAATTTAATATGGTTTACAATTTACTAAATTTATTCACACTGATGTGAATAATGTGTGCATCAACGTGTGTCGTAATAGTGAGATAAACTTTCCGTAGATTAACAGTAATAACAGCAGTAATAATTATTATATATGCACCATTAATTTCTCTTTGAGTTTATATTTGTCAAAAACGATATCAATTTAGCTTCAAAAGAAGGTGAAAAGATGTTAGTAACATTAGTGGTAATAGTACTGATGGGATTAAAAAGGGTTTAAGTGCACATTATAGTGATTGTTTCATAATGATTAAATTAGTTAAAGGACATAGTGGGAATATTTAACAATTAATTTCACATATCGTATTCGCGCCAATTTAATATAGGAAATTGATTTGTTTTTTTCAAATAATGATGTTATAGGCTCAAAATATTACAAATACTACTACTCCTAGTTGTCACCTTTTGATTTATCTTCTCTTGGACGTATTGTAGAATCACTTGTACTCCGGTTTATTGTAGCTGTACTATCTCTTGACTCATGCCATGTAGAACGACTAGCAGCGATCGGTGTTCTAGGTAGGGAAGATTGTTCCAACGGACTAATATCTGTATTTGTTGTGATATTTTCTTCAGGACGTTGTCTATTTCTTTCATCACTATGATATCGAGTCGAGGGATTTGTTTTATCTGTTTTTGTCGTTGATTGATATGGTCTTGGTTCAATAAATGATCTTCTTGGTTTTATTAATAAATTTGATCCCGTTGATCGATTCAGTCTGGCAGGTATTGATCCTGTTAATTGGTAGTAGTATGGGTCATATCTAGATGGTGCAGTAGTTGGCTTGTACAGTCCCACCAAGAGTGAATCCT